CTCTGTTCAATATCTTCATCAACGATTTAGATATTGGTATAGAAAGTACGCTTATTAAGTTTGCAGATGATACCAAGTTGGGAGGGGTTGCGACTAATCTGGAGGATAGAGTTGTAATTCAGAATGACCTGGACAAATTGGAGAAATGGTCTGAGGTAAATAGGATGAAGTTTAATAATGACAAATGCAAAGTACTCCACTTAGGAAGGAACCATCAGTTTCATACATACAGAATGGGAAGCGACGGTCTGGGAAGGAGTATGGCAGAAAGGGATCTAGGGGTTATAGTGGACCACAAGTTGAATATGAGTCAGCAGTGTGATGCTGTTGCAAAGAAAGCAAACATGATTCTGGGATGCATTAACACGTGTGTTGTGAGCAAGACACGAGAAGTCATTCTTCTGCTCTACTCTGCGCTGGTTAGGCCTCAATTGGAGTATTGTGTTCAGTTCTGGGCACCGCATTTCAAGAAAGATGTGGAGAAATTGGAGAGGGTCCAGAGAAGAGCAATGAGAATGATTAAAGGTCTAGAGAACATGACCTATGAGTGAAGGCTCAACGAATTGGGTTTGTTTAGTTTAGAAAAGAGAAGATTGAGGGGGGACATGATAGCAGTTTTCAGATATCTAAAAGGGTGTCATAAGAAGGAGGGAGAAAACTTGTTCATCTTGGCCTCTGAGGATAGAACAAGAAGCAATGGGCTTAAACTGCAGCAAGGGAAGTTTAGGTTGGACATTAGAAAAAAGTTCCTAACTGTCAGGGTAGTTAAACACTGGAATAAATTGCCCAGGGAGGTTGTGGTATATCCATCTGTGGAGATATTTAAGAGTAGGTTAGATAAATGTCTTTCAGGGATGGTCTAGACAGTATTTGGTCCTGTCATGAGGGCAGGGGACTGGACACGATGACCTCTCGAGGTCCCTTCCAGTCCTAGTATTCTATGATTCTATGGTGGACATTGGGAAAACCTTTCTGTCAGGGTAATTAAGTACTGAAAGACATTGCCTAGGGAAGTTGTGGAATCTCCATCATTGGTGGTTTGTAAGAACAACATCTGTCATCAGGAATGGTCTAGTTATTACTTAGTCCTGTCTTTAGTCCTGTCTAGTGCAGGGGATTGAACTAAAATTAGACTGACTTGTTGAGGTCCCTTCCAGTCTCACACTTCTGTTATGATTGTCCATGAAATTAAGCTACTCTGGTGTAAATACCATATTTTACAGTGGATATCAGGGAAACATTTTTAAAAATGGATACTACAGACTGTTGCATGAGAAGCTGACGTGAGAAAATGGAGAAGAAAGGCAAAGAACTCTTGAGGCATTCCTTAATCTTTCCTCTCTCAGGGTAGACATAAAAAGATATATGCAGCCAGTATTTTCAGAAGTGGCTGCCCTAGTTTATGAGAGCCCAGCAGCCAAGGTGTTTAGGGAGCTCAACCATCCTCTTTCTCTACCTTTCTCTCTCCAGTAGGAGTCACATAAACATTACTGCAGGGTTCAAGCACCATCCTTGCCTCATGAGGACCTAAATACACCTAGGCATCCTTGGGAGTGGTAGGAGCACATTATGAGTGTAACCTGCTCCCCAAGTAGACCATGTGGATTCCTTCCTTCCCACTTGTACCTCAGGCCCAACCATCCTGGTTGTAGCTCGTTTTATGACCACTTGGGGCTTATAATCTTTAATCACCACTTACTGCTGCATATGTTGGCAAGTGGCTTGGCCCTGTTGTTGCTGCATTACCTAGCCATCACACACTGAGCTCATGCAGTTTTAGGCTTAGCTCTCAGTTTCTTGGTTTAACCTTTTTAATGTTTAATGTATTATTTTAATCTTAGCAATAAAAGAAAAATGTGTTTGTGTTAATCAATAGGCTATTCGTTGAGAAGTCACCAAATCTGCCTTGACTCACACCCTTTTAATAGGTAGCAGGTTTAAAACAAACAAACAAAAATATTTCTTCATACAACTCACAGTCAACTTCTGGAACTCTTTGCCAGAGGATGTTGTGAAGCCCAGGACTTTAACAGGGTTCAAATAAGAACAAGATAAATTCATGGAGGTTAGGTCCATTAATGACTATTAGCCAAGATGAGTAGGAATGGTATCCCTAGCCTCTGTCAGAAGATGGGAATGGGTGATAGTGGAGGGATCATTTGGTGATTACATATTCTGTTCATTCCCTTTGGAGCACCTGGCATTGGCCACTTGCAGAGGACAGGATTACATGAACAGGGGTTACATGGACCTCTGGTCTTACCCAGTATGTCTCTTCTTATGTTCTTACAGGTGTACTTGAGGGCAAGATTTGGGCCTTCTATGGGCTCAGTCAGACCCTCATAGACGGGGGAGGGAAATAAGGGGAGACAAGCTCTGCTTTGGCACCTACTCCATTTTTTTTTTTTTTTTTTTTTTTTTTTTTTTTGCTGAGGGGAGGGGTGGAAGAGGGTAGTGATTCTCTCTAAACCGGGAAAAAGTAGAGTTTTGAACCCCAAATTTGTAATCCCACCAGCAGGAGCATGGGGCCTTCCCATTGACTTGGGGTCTTCCCAGCAGAAGCTGCCCACCAGGGACTATGTACACAACTTTTTCCCTTTTCAGCAGTGATCATCTTTCTATGGCTTGGAGAGTCTCTGTGAGAAAATTCATACGGCTCTGAGCTGTGGATTCCCAGCTGGGTTGATTTGGAGGGAAGACACAAGTTCTTCTCGACCTTGTCGGTAGCTCTCTACCTCTCATCTTTTGCCTATTTCCCAGGATCTCTGTCCCTGCAGAAAGTCCTCCAATGACTACAAGGGTAAAAATATAATACTAAGGAATCATTAGTAATCCCTTTTTTGCAGCTCATAAGGAGATGAGGAATTAGGATGTGTGGTAATATCAAATCTTTTTAGTACTGGAAGGGTGCATGCATAGAGAATATATTCGAAAATTAAATTGCTTGATCATTTAACATTATTTTTCAACATACCAAAAGCATTTGGTCCACATTATGGACTAATTGCCTGCCAAGTTTTATTTTTAAATCAGAATTTATTGAAGAAGAGAACAGCAGCTTAAACATGTAAACTTTGAATTTTCTATACTTTTATATTGTAACTTAAAAGGGATCACAACAATTTTTTTAAATGTCATAAATTTGCTACTGGACTAAGTTTTGCTTGCCAAGTTTCAGCTGAGAGTGAAAAACAGAGTCTTTAATGGAAAGGTTGAGACAGCTGTAGTATAAATGCAGCAGTGTTAAGGGGCTGGGCTGTAATGTACGACTAGCAGTATATTTCCCCATAAAGTCAGTAATCATGGCATATATGAAACTCACTGTACAGTCTTTTTAAAATCACTTTTTAAACATCTTCATTAACTTTGTGAGTGCTACAGTCTTTGATGAGAACAGAACAACTTTTAGGATTCACTTTATTCTCCCTGCACTTATAAAAAAGACA